GGGAGCGGGCGAGCGGTGGTGGGGTGGCGGGGGCGGGCCACTCCCGGGCCTAGCGTCAGCCAGCTCTGCCCAACACCCATGCTGGCGCTGTGGGGCTGTGGGGCGTCACGCCACTGGCCGACAGCCGCCGCCTGCTCATGACGCCGCCTGCTCACCTCCTTGCCATGCTGCAGCCGCGCGGCTGGCCAAGCGGGGGGACGTCGCCGACATGGCGCTGCAGCAGCTGGCGGGGCGGGAGGAGGAGGAGGAGGCAGCGGCGGCAGAGGCGGCTCGGCTGGAGGAAGCCGCCGCCGCGGTGGCGGCGGCTGCGGGGGTTGCAGTGCTAGACGACCATCGCTGGCACGGCTACTATGAGCAGCAGGAGGAGGAGGATGAGTGGTAGACGAGCAGAAGGGCGTGTAGATAGAGAGGCGGCAGAGCCCGTGGATAGACAGGCGTGCAGTTTTGCAAAGCGCGGCCGCTGCATCGTGAACTGCTTTCTCACACCTTGCGGCCAATCGCCCGATTTTCCATAGGTGCCCTCCCCCCCTTGTGAACCTACTCCCTCCCTCCCCTCCCTCCCTCCCGTGTGAACCAGCTCTCTGGGGTGCTGTTACAGGCCAGCTGCGTCAGCGTGCAAGGGCCAGCAGCACCACACGCTTCCAGCACCCAGCCGACCGCTGGCCGCCCAGCCCAGCGCCTGTAGGCAGGGGAGGCAAGGACAGGCAGTAGGTGCGGGGCCAGGCAGTAGGTGCGGGGCTGGGCGCCAGCATGTATAGCGGCAGCATGAAGTAGCCAAACCGCAGCAGCGTAGCTCACCTGCAGCATCGCCTGCCTGTGCTTCCATTCGTGCCGCCAGGGCCGCTGCTCGTCAGCACAGGTAGGGCCGCTGGCAGCAGAGGGCTGCCGGCAAAGAGTCTGCGGTGCGGCTGCCGGGTGGACGACGCATCTTGGGGTAGGGAGGGCGGAGCAGGTGCGTGGAGGGTGCCTGCTCGTCTTCTGCTGTGCTAGAGCCACTGGCCGCCCCGCGCCTGTTGTCGATGGCGGGGTTCGGCTGTCTGCCTGCTGCTGGTGGCGCATGGCAGCCTGCGGCACCGCCTGCTAGCGCCGCCGCATGCCGGCGCTGGTGCCGTTGCCGGTCATGCTGGCGGCGCTGCCGGGAAAAACACGCAGCGGCCGCCTACTGCTGCTGGAAGAAAGTGTCGTACGCCGACTGCGACAGGCCCGCCTGCTGCGACAGGCTCGCCTGCGTCTTGCCCAGCTCCAGCTCGCTGGGGGCGGCAAAGCTGTCCTGGCTGAGGCGCTGGGTGAAGCTCTGGGTGAATGCGTATTGGCTGGGCATCTGGGTGGCAAAGCCCGCCTGGCTGGGGGCAACCTCGCCGCCCTCGCCTGCCGCCGCTGCCGCCGCCGCCGCCGCCGCCGCGGGCGCGGGCTGCCGCGCGTCGCGGCTGCCGCGCTGCGCCGGCCCGCCGGCTGCTGCTGCTGCTGCGGGGGCCGGGATGGTGTAGGGGTTGCTGCTCGGGGGCAGGCTGCGCTCGTAGGCATAGCCGCCGTCCAGGTTATCCCTGCTGCCGCCGTAGCCGCCGCTGTTGGCCGTGCCCGGTGGCGGCGGGCCCAGCTCCTCGTGTCGCTCGCCTGCAGGCGTGAAGCGCGAGTCCCGCAGGCAGGAGGGCGCCTCAGTCTCAAGCAGGAGGAGGCCATAGTTCCGGCAGTGAAGAGGGCGCGTCAGCGGCTGGCCTGGTGCTGCAGCTCACGCTGTCCTTTTGGCCCCATACAATACCAGCCGCATCACAAGCGTCCCCCACCCCCCCACACACACCACCACCACCACCACTTGCCTGCCTTCTCCACAGGCCTGAAGCGAGTGGACAGCGCGCCGCCCAGCCCAAAGCTGCCCGCGTCAAACAGGCGGCGCGGGCGCTGCAGCTGCACCATGCTCTGCTTGAGGTTGGTGAGGGGGCCTGCGGGCAAGGGAGGGGCAGGGGAGCGGGCAGCGGCCGCCCTCGGGCTGGCTCAGCACCGGCGTCGAAACCGACAGGCTGCTCCCGTGGGCGGCGCCTGGCAACTGGCACATGCCTGCCACCCCTCCACCCGCCCACCTGTCGACCCACCACACCCCCCAACACACAGCCCTCCTTCCACACTCCCAGCACCCCACCCTCCCACCCCACCCTCCCACCACACCGCCCTCCCCCCGCCGCCGCTCACCCTCCACCAGGCACCCGTTCTCCTTGAAGTGGTAGAGCAGTGCGTTCCCAGATGGAGTGCTTGGACAGGACCTTGGGGTTGCCCAGCACCCACCAGGCCATACTTGGCGCGGGTGAGCGCCACGTTGAGGCGGCGCGGGTCTGCCAGGAAGCCGATGCCCTGCAGAGGAGCGGGGGGGCGGCATTGGCGGGGTGGCGGGCATGCCGGTGGTGGTGGTAAGAAGGTAAGAAGGACGGGAGGGGTGGGAGCGGAAGCGAGGTGGTGGTGCAGGGTGGCGGTAGCGCGCGCGAGCGGGCTGCTGCCGGTGAGGTGCGGCCAGGGCTGGGCACGCAGGGGGGGTAAAGGAGCAGCCTCCTGGGCAAGCAGCGGCGCTGCCCGCACCTGGTGCTCGTTGGAGCGCACGCAGGACAAGATGATGTAATCCTTTTCCCGCCCCTGCAGGGCAGCCCACGCAACAGCAGTAAACAGTGGATAGGCAGGCGACAGCGCCGGGCATGCGCGCACCGCAGCAGCGGCAGCAGCAGCAGCAGCAGCAGCAGCAGCTGCCGCCACCACCGCGATCGCCGGAGGAGCACACCAGGTCGACCGACCGGGCAAGAAGCGGCACCAGCGCGGCCACCGAGCAGCCCGTCCGCGCCCCGGCCCGCACCTGGAAGGAGTCTACAGAGGCGCACTCTATCTCAGCGTACAGCGCCTGGCGCATGGGCCCGCTGCGCGTCATCACCGTCACCACGTGCGCGCGCTGGCCCTCGTAAGGAGTGATGATGCCGATCTGCGCGGGACTGACGCCTGCGGGGGGGAGAGGGAGGAGGAGGAGGCGGGTGGGGAGGCACGGCACGGCACGGCACGGCAAGGCAAGGCAGGGGCGGGTCTGGGGCGCCTTAGTGGCGGCAGGGGGCGGGCGCAGACAACGCACAGCACGAGTGTGCATCGGCGGGGAAGGGCAGGGGGCACCCCGAGGAAGGCACACAGGCGCGCAGGCGTCCACATGCGGCCAGCCGCGCCTGCAAGCAACACCTCACGTGCGCCCCAGCCACACCCCACCTAACCACACACACACAGGTACCACACAGACACCACACCCCAGGAACCACACACACACACCCCCAGCCCCCGCAACCCCTCACCCGACTTGAGCAGGTAGGTCACGATCTTCTCCACGCTGGCCGCCTCGGTGCGGTTGAGATAGGAGGTGCCCGAGGCGGAGATCTCCTCGGCGCCCAGCTGCACGTAGAACATGCAGGGCTTGTCGGTGGGCCAGGGGAACAGGACCTGCAGGGGCGGCGGGAGGCGGGGGTGGAGGGGTTGTGGAGGAGTGGGGTGGGAGGGTGTGGAGGCGCGGGCGCCGGCAGGGGCAGGGCGGCGCGCGGGAACCGCGGCAGGAGGCCCCCTCTGCCTGCCTGCCCCACACCGTCTACACACACACACGCGCTCACGTTTGTGCGTGTGCGCTCCGCCACGGTCACGCCGTTCTGCAGCGCCCCCTCATAAAAGGTGTTGCTGGGGAACTCGCTGCAAGGTGGGCAGTAGGCAGGCGGGGACGGGCGGGGTCAGGCTGGGCAGGTACTAAGGAAGCCCTGAAAGGGGCTGAGCGGGCGCACCGGCAGGGTGGGCGGTGCAAGCCAGCGGCCGCCAGGCGGGCGCAAGCACAGGCAGGCCGCAGGGCTGCGCCCCCGCGGCCTCCAACCCCCAGCCACGGCACGAAGGAAGGACGAGGCGAGGCGGTACGCGCCTGAGGGCGGGGTGCATGCGGTACTGTACCGCCAGGCGGATGGGCTTCACCCCCAGCAGCATCAGCCGCTCAAACAGCGACTGGCTGAGGCCCGCGCGGGCGGCCACCTTGTTGATGATCACGGGGCCCAGCTGGCAGTGGTCGCCCACCAGGATGAGCTGCAGGGGCAGGCAGGAGGCAGGCAGGCAGGCAGGCAGGGGGTGGGACGTGCGCGAGTGGTGCGGGCGCAGGGAGCCGGCATGCCGGCCCAGGCAGGCCGCGACAGGCGCGGGCGACAGCCGACGGCGCGGCCCGAGCTGCACGCTCCAGACTCCTGCCAACAAACACGGGCAGCAGCTATCCCACACACCCCACAGCGCACACACACACACATGCATACGTACACCCGCCCCTCGTGCCCACACACCACCACCACTGCCGCCGCAGCCAGCCACCCACCTGCTTGGCGCCCATGACCAGCGGGATCATCGCCTCCGGCTCCACCGCCTGCGTGGCCTCGTCGATGAGCAGGCGGCGGAAGCGGAAGTTGGTGAGGCGCGAGTCGCCCACGCCGGCGCATGTGGCGCACACCACGTCGGCGGCCTGCAGGATCTCACGCTCCAGGCTGCGCTTCAGGGCCTTGTACTTGCGCTCGTCTGCAGGGGGCGGTGCGGGGGGGACACGGGGGAGCGGGGTGGCGCGGCGGGTGTGAATGCGCGGTGGAAGCGGGGCGGTAAGGTGTCCGGGGGAGGCAGTGTGTGCGTGTGGGGCACACGAGTGGGGAGATGCAGAAGGAGAGGAAGGATTGAGATGGGGCTGGGAAGGCACATAGCGGCAGCCCTCCCATCCACACACCCACACCCATCCACCTACCCCCGCACCCACGCCCCCTGCCTCTCCCCACCTGCCGCCGCCAGCTCTCCCAGCTCCTCCTTGAGCAGGCGCAGCTTGCGCAGCTCCTGGGCTTCGGGGATGTCCAGGTGCTCCACCTGTGGGTGTGTGGAGGGGGAGGAAGGGAGGAAAGGACGGCGGTGGGAGGGAGGACAGCACGGGTGGGGGTGGGAGGAACAGAGCGGGTGGCAAGCAGGGTCGGAAGCAGGATGGGCGTGGCGGCAGCGGCCCTCCTGCCCTGGCCCCCACCGTGCCGCGGGCAGGGGCCGTGCATGGGAGCACAAGCACACACACGAGCGGGCGGCCACGGCCTGCGGCCGCCTGCACACAGCCCCACTGCCGTTGGGGAGCCACCCCACCACGCAGCCAACTCTATCCCGTCACCCACCCACCCACCTGGTAGTGCAACGTGAGGTGCTCGACCGTGGTGGCCACCGCCTCCCGGCTGCGCGCCTGCAGCCGCACCACGCGCAGCCCCGTCTGGGAGGTGCGCTCGGCCAAGTGGTCCACGGCGATGTTGGAAGGAGCAGACACCAGCACCTGGCCCTGCCCCATCTTGGCCAGCTGCGGGGGGGCACGGTGGCAGGGAGTGGTGTGTGTGTGGTTGTGTGTGTATGTGTGTGTGTGTGTGGGGGGGGGGGGGGGGGGGGAGGGCCCCCTTTTG